AGTGAATGAGCATCTCTGCAGACAGACCTAGGCTTTGATAGGAAATTGTTTCCACAGTCGCACCTCTTTGCCCCAGGGCCTTGCAATCCCTTGAGATAAGATTCTTTCTCCTTACAATTCTTTCGAGATACAACTTGGGTGAGCTAGAAGGCAACCAGGTGAAGAAGAGAGATCGTGGTGTTGAAGGGACATCCTTGCACCTCCAAGATGACGTCTTCACCTCCCTCTAGTCCCTGACATCAAAGCTTCCCAGCAGCAGCAGCACAAATAATAAATTAAAAGTAAAAAGATCAAGCATGGCAGCACATGGCTGAAAGGGTGAATTATGATGTTAGGGAGCGAGAGAGAGCCTCCCACTGCTTTTTAAACTTAGAGTTACATTTCTTCTTCCCTTGGTGAGGAAACACAGTTCTGTTATTTCTGCAAATGCATTCTTTCTATACTGAATATAAACATGCTATGAAAATATGTGTGCCTGCTAGGGTGATTCATTTCCCCCAAACATCTAGCAATTGGGGGAGTCATGTCACCCTATATAATTGCAGGTTTGGGGCGCCCCTTCCTGCAGCTAGCCAGGAGTTATCCTGTTCATGTTTGTTGTTCATCCATCCAGGATCCTGAGGAATTCTGAGTCCAGGAGGCACTTTGCCTAAGAACTGACAAATCGGTAGCTGGCTTTAAATGATTTTATTACTGGGGGTGAATTCTAGGAAAGGAAACCTCAGGGTCGATTATAAAAATAGTGTGTTTATAGAAGTAAAAGCTTTCAGGAGTGTTGCCTTTAACAGCAATGGAAAAATCCCAAACCTACTAAAGATGTCAAGTCCAGCTCCAGGCTCCTTTCCCCTAAGTGCAAGGACATTTGTAGTAAGAGGCAATATACAGTACTATATATAAAACAGATAACCTACTGTATAGCACAAAGAACTATATTCAGTTTCTTGTAATGAGCTGTAATGGAAAAGAATCTGAAAATATACATACATATATGTATAACTGAATCACTTTGCTATACATCTATCACTTTGCTATACATCTGAAACTAACATTATAAATTGACACTTTAATAAAAAATGAGAGTTAAAAAAAAGACATGGGGGACACAGTGGCCTCTGGGCTCAGCTTTCTGGGTTCAAATTTCAGCTGTGTTGTTCACTAGCTTTATGACTTTGGTCAAATTGATCAAACTCTCCAAGCCTCCATTTACTTAACTTTAAAATGGGTGTGATAGTAGCATCTACCTCACAGAGGTACGATGGATAGAGTACATCTGGGTAGAGTGCAAAGGAAGGGCACATGACTGAACTGAGAGAGAGGGGTACAGGGACGATCCTGTCACAGTAGGGCGGGGAGGGCCCCAAACGGTGCTCTGGGGGTTACACCTTCTTGTGCTTATGCTCACTCCCCAGCCTTAGTTGGCTTCCTAGGAACACAGAATTCTCTAAATGGAGAAAAAAATGAAGCGTATTTCCTGGGCAGCCTGGCTCGGGAAGTGAACAAAGATGTGAATAGTTTCCTTCCATCTGGGCCGCTCATTTGATGAGGCCAATAGAAGTGGGATTCTAGGTGGAGCAAAAGTGGGTTCCCACTCTGGTCATCTGGGCTGAGGCCTTCTGTGTCAGGCTTTTAAAGATTTTGTTCGCTTTTCCATTTTCTCTTCTCTTTAAAAAAAAACTAATTCCTAAAGCTGTGTCTTAACCTAGTGTAAACATTGGTTTTCTCAGACAACAATAGGAAATATGAGCCAATCTGGGGAAAGCTTGAATGAATAGCATAAGCACTATTTGTGAAACATTTTACAGGATGTTAAGTTCTATGAATATGATAAATAATAATACATATTCATATTCTACTCGAGTCTTTTAATTTCAACTACTTAAACCACTCAAATTTACATAAATATGTGTTCAGTTTCCTGAATACGTGGTTCTCTTCAGTTGAGGATGACTATTTTCATCACTTTTCCCATATTAGATTGATATATTTATCATAACCCATGCTTTCAGGACATCGCACAAGGGTTTCCTTCTAAAATCTTGTTCTCATGGCTTCTTGAATTTGTGTTGCTTCAGTTCACAGCAGCCAAGGTGGGTAGAGTCACTGTCTCCAAAGTTGTTGAGATAATTCTCTGTCCTTTCTGAAAAGAATATTAAGAAGGAGTTTACTGTGGTTCCTGGTGATAGCAGATGTTCTCTGTATCATATGCCATAAGTTACCTTTAATTCCTTTTTTTCCTTCTTTTATGTTTGCTGATTGAAGATTGAAGTATATTTCACATACACGTTTCTATCTGTTTAAACATGCAGGACACACATGGCGGAGAAGGGAGGCTGAATGCTTAGGGAAGAAGGCCTGGTGCCAAGGCCCCCCACTGTCTGTTGATGGTATGGTCTTGACAAAGTCACTTTGTGTCTCTCAGTTTTATCTGTAAAGTGAGAATAATTCTATCTTCCCTATTGTGGATTAGTTGAGAGTATCAAGTTAAAATCTTTATGTGAAACTTCTTGTTAGTATTTGTTTAGCTACGCTGGGCTAAATTTCTCAGTGATCTTTGCTAGTGATCTGTCTAGCAACCCAAAGCGCCCACTGCTTAACTCAATACTTCCTTGCAACAGCAAGAAAAATAATTTCTACTCAAAGGAGTTGATTTTCCTGCCCCCAAGGTTGTGACCTCTAATACCTCCGTCACTGTTCAGATATTAAAGTGTAAGAATTCTGCTTAGTCAGATTCTGTCTCTCTACTCTTTTCTTTCCCCCTGGTTTTACAACTATGATTTTATTCTTTGCTTTCCTCTAGCCACTTCAGAATGGCTTCTGTAATATCATAAAATATCAGAATTAAAATACCAATTCCCCACTTTCCTGGAGTCTTTTCCTTGAGGGAAGACTTTAGTTGGAGGTTAACCAAATCCAGGATCAGGCTTTCTTTTTGTCGATTTCCGTGTCTCACTTTGTTCCTGATGTAACAGTGACATCTTGTTCAATCTGCATAAGCGGCTGTGCAGAAGAGGAAATTGCAAAAGGAACACGAATCACTATTATACCTTTCACTAATTTATGCATGCAGGGTTCATTTCCTCCAGCAGAGTCCAGGATTAGAAGTGATGGATGCCTCCCAGGGGCCCCAATCCATCATTAGTCAAATACTCTGCCTCTTCCTCAAGGAATAGCCTGATTCTTTGAGATGCTTTTTTCTCTCTTATTTTCTTTACTGTTTCTTGCTTGCAAGGATTACTTTTTTCAACAATCTGGGCTTCACTGTGACCCCGAATAAGGAAATCATTCATGAATGCATTTATCCATTCATTTATTTACTCAATAAAAATGCATCGAAAACCTACTTTGTGCTAGACCCTCTACAATGCACTAAAAATAGAAATGTGAAGAAAAGTTCCTTCTAGCCATCAGGATTTCCAGTTTTGGGGAGGCACCGAACAGATAAAACAATGCTTAGACTACTTGAAGAGAAGACTGTCTTTATATTATTGCTATGGGAAAATAGTCACAGCAAATCTTGTAAAGTTCTTACCATGTGCCAGGCACTGTTCTAACTTCTGATATGTATTAACTCATTTAATCCACACAACAACCATATGAGGCAGATACAATTGTGCTACTTTTATAATTGAGAAAATCAGGTACCTGGTATTTGACCAATTTGTCCAGGGTCAAGGAGCTGGACCCCCCCCCCCTTTTTTGTTGTTTTTAAGGAACGGGTTACTGAGGGAAATAAATCCCTGCTACTGCTGTTGGTTAATGGGTTGTGATTAGATTGATAACACTACTGTGGTTTGGGCACAGGGCTGTCCTTAAGGTATGGGTATTTACCCTGGTGCTCATCTGGGGAGGTATCAGAGTCTGGAAGGAAGGCAGAACTTGGCTCCAGAGGAGGAGTCTTGCTTTTCTGGGCTTGGACTCGTACACGCCCAAATACAACTCAGGATGCTTCTGCATAGGAGTGGGTGCGGCTGCTACCTTGGGCAGCCTGGGAGTTCATCAGGAGGTTGGCCCTAATAGGAGCCTGGGACCATGGGCCAGGGCCTGTGGGTTCCCAGAAGGGCTATTCTAAAGAACAGTAATAACGACCGCCACAACTGGGCCGATAAAGATCATCATCATCACCGTATGATCATAGCTAATACTTATCGAGCACTTCTCCAGCAGACAGTGCTGCTCAGTACTTCGCATACATTAGTTCTGGTCTTCCAGCCATGCAATGAGACAGATATGATTTGCATTTACAGATGAGAATCCTGAGGAGCAGAGAAGTTCAATCATTTGCTCAGGAGTACACTAGTAAGTGAAGAAGTTGCCCCAGAGAATTAAGGATGAGGCTTGTGGTCATGCTCGGGCCAGATATATTAAGAGCAGGACAGGGCCTTCATGCCGGGGGGACACTGGCAGCCCGTGGCCCAGGCCTGCTGTGGCGACCAGGAACTGTGGATATCAGCTCAAAGCGGGCCTTGGGAGCTGGGGCAGTGAGGAGGTTGGACGTGGCAACATTGGCACAGGCACTGGCCCACCTATGATGACAAAGGAGTTGCTGAAGCAGAGCCGGGGAGACGGGCAGCTGTGGCCAGAATGTGCTCATGTCAGGTACCTGCTGGGACCACCTGGGTGGAAGGAGAGGAAAGATGAGGTCCTAAGAGAATGCAGGAGGGGGCTACTAGCTCGCAAAAGCTGCATCCATATCAGTGTGTTTCCAGCTCACCAAATATTTATTGAGCATCTGTTATGTGCCTGGTGTTGTTTTAGAAGCTGGGGCTTCAACAATGGAACTGAGGTCACAAAAACTCCAGTCTTCACAGAACTTATGTTTGCCTAGGGAAGAAATCCAATGAAGAAGATAGATAAGTAAGCTACAGTATACGGTGTGGTCAGTAGTGATATGTGTGACAGAGATAAAGCAGGAGTAGGGGACGGGAACTGAGAGTGTGGGTGGGTGTGGGGGGAGGGGCTGCTGTTTTAAACCGAAAGTCCGAGGAAGGCCTCACTAAGAATGTGCCATTTGTTAACATTCTCGGGTGAAGGCATTGAGAGATGAGCTGCACCCCTAGGGGAGAGGGTGACAGGTAGAGAAGGTAAGAAGCATAAACCCTGAGGCAGGAGAGTTCCTTGCTTGCTCCAAGAATGGCAAGGAGGCCATTGTGGTGGCTGAAGTGGAGGGAACTGGGGGCAGGAGAGCAGGGGAAGGGGGCTGAGAAGTAGGGGTGGGAGGCAGGTAAGTTAGGTTCAGATAGATGATTGTCAGAATCTTTCCTTTTCTTCTGGATGATATGGGGAGTTAATGCAAGGCTTCGAGAGGACATCATCTAATGTACATTTGAAGAGCATCACCCTGTCTGCTGCATTGAAAATAGGGGGTCGAGAGAGGAAGCAGGTAGGTTACACAGGCTACACAATAATTAGGTGAGAGATGATGGTAGATTGGACCAAGGTGGTAGCAATGGAGGAGATGAGTAGTGATCAGATTTTGGGTATCATCTGAAGATAGAGACAAAAGGTTTTGCTGCTGGATTGGATGTGAGATATGAGCTGAAGAGAGGAGTCTAGGATGAATTCTGTGTTTTTGACTTGAGCCTATGAAAGAATGGTCTTGCCACATTCTGCAGAGGGAAAGACCAGGAAGAGAAGGTGAGTGGAGTGTAGGGTCAGGGCTCAGGCTTGAACATGTTAACTTGGGAGCCTGTTCAACACGCAGGTGTTGACACGTGCTCGTGTGTGCCCAAGACCCAAAGAGACTGGAGAATACGCTGAACTGAATCAAGTCAACGAAAGTAAAAATGTATTTATAATTCTGAGAAGTGACAGACAGACAGAGCCAGTTCTGGCAATTTCTTGTCACTGATGTTGCTTCCAAGTTCTGGTTTTGATAAATTCATGGTGGGGGAGGGCTTTGACAGGGAAAGTCCCTTAGCAGGGTGGTGAGCAGGGTGTATCCCCACCAGAAACATCTGAAAAAGGAAACAGCAATATTATGCACGTGGATAGTCTTTTTCCTCTCCATTTTCCATGGTACCAGTAACCCTTCTGAACCTTGCAACCAGTTAGTATACTTTACGGAACCTCCTTTACTTTCACTATTTGGAAGTCCAAGTTCAGTCATAGTCTGTTACTCATGTTGAGAAGGTTTGTGGGTTAAGACTTCTGATAGATCTGGTTTTACTGTTTACTCTCCTTTCCACCTTTAAATGGGTTATCACCTTCTCAAAAGGTGAATGAACTCAGTGATTTGGTGCTACACTTTGTGTAATATTTTGAGGCCGCTGAGTCTGACTGGATTAATAGTAAAGGGGTGAAGGATACAACAAGGCCAAATTTTGGAAATTCCTTTGCCTAAAACATGCTTCTCTCTTGGATCAGATAAATATAACTACACTTTGGAAACCCAGGAGAGTTCATGCAGCCTCACCCAGAAGGGTTGCTATTTACTCCATAGCAGAGATGTATCAATTATTTGGATTTCTGAGGCAGTGTGTTTTGATTTATTACTGATATCCCTATAGCTACAGACAGAGGAAGTCCCTTTCTATATGATGGAAGAGGTCCAAAATATTTGCAAGTCAGAAATTACCTTCTGCTATTAGGCATGAAATTTTAACCATAAAATGTATTAAGGCATTGTCTGTATAAGGCCATTATACCTCAGTGCATACTTATTTTTTATTAGATTCACACTTTGGGCATGCTGCTTTATTAGAATACTTTATCTAGCAAGGTCCTAAATATTGCACTTGGAGTCAGTAACTTTTGAGACCAAGAGATTGGTGAGAGTTTCTAGTGAGCCAACCATCGAAGGTAGGATGTTATATCTGGGCTGTTGTGTCTCAGAAGAGAACCTGGGCAGTAGAAAATGACTGGCTACCTGGAGATCAGGTTTTAATGGGACCGGAGGTGACAGCAGAACAGATGAATGTAGTGGAAGATGAGCTTCGCCTACTTAAAACTTTGCCGCAAACCAGCCTTGATCAACATGCATGGCTTGCTTTAGAGGAAAATCAAATTATACCTTGTTTAGTCCTCGTAAATCATGGCTCCTGATGAAAACCCAGAGAGAGCAGAGGAAGTTGGGCCATTCAGCCTTGAAATCAGAGCTCCAGTTGTCAAAGCCATTTATAAAAGCCAACACGAGCGCAGATGTCACTACTGAAAAGATCGAAGGGAGATTTCCCTGGTAGAAGTTCCAGGGAAGAGTCTCTGTTTAGCATTACCATTCTGTAGCATGTGTGTGCTGTTCACCAAGTTACTAAAAGGAGCAAACAAGGTGAAAGTTAATGCCTGTGAATCTGTCCTCACAGCAGGTCTGCATTTGTGCTTGATTCCTTTGGTCTCTCACTGGTAGAAGGATCACGGGTGGAGAGAAGTTAAACATCCCAGGGCTATCAGCTAGTGTGAGAGTCAGGGAGAGAATGCATACCTCCGTGGTCAGGGACACGCCAAAAGTGGCAAGAACTTCCCATAATTTAGCTAAATCTGTTCACTGTGCAGAACAAATTGGTAGAAGAGGCACATCCTTTAATTGCGGAAGAAACCTCTACAATCCCTGCTTGCTTGAGCAGTCCTAAATGAAATGAATTAGAATCCCAGAAAAATAACATTTTCAGGTTACTAGGAGGGCAGAAAATTCATTACTACTTTGGCAAAAATCTTCACTCTAGCGATGTGGTGAATACTTGAAGGAGAATCTGTATCTGCTCTGTCCTCTCTGGTAGCCACTTAGACTTGTGACTATTTAAAAGTAAAGTAAATTAGGTAAAATAAAAAAAATTCAGCCTCTCAGTCATACTAGGCACATTTTGTGTGATTAATAGTCACTTGAAGCTAATGGTTACTGTTTGGACAGCACAGATATGGAACATTTCCTTCTTTGCTGAAAGTTCTATTGGTCAAACTTGATCTGGATCATGAAACTGGTTGAAGCTTTTCTGTTTCCCTGAAAGAAAGGACAGACACAGGTGGAAATTATACACCTGGCCCAGATTAGATACTTAAACACACACTTCCTGGTTCTGGGTGGTTTTGGGAGTGGGGGCGGTTCTTGGAGCTTGAGCTGCATAACCAACAGATGGAAGCAGGTTTTTCTTCCCCTTCTGGCTCTGAAAACTTCAGGTAAGAAAAACCCAGCTTCTTTCTCTCGAGGAGTGGTTTTGCATAAATTTGTAGGATTTTATACATATCCTAAACAGAGATTTTCAAACTATGGGTTATGACCCATTAGGTTGTAAGATAAACTTAGTGGGTTTTACCGGCATTAAAAACAAAGGAAATAGAATGAAAATGTCATCAGGCTTCATGTGCAGTGGGAGTGCTCCTATTTTGTAAAATTTTGTTTCAGATGTGTACATAGTTGGGTACACTGGTTCATTGTGGGAAAATGTGTACTTTACTCTGAATCATGCTTAAAGCATGTTTGAAAGCCAGCTCTGAAGTTGAAAAACTATGAAAAGAACTCTTAGGCCCTAAAGCAATGGCCAGCGGCAAGTAAATGCTAAGAAATTTCTTTAGTTGTTTATACCAAAGCCCACTTATTAGGTCGTACTTGAATGCTGCCTGCTGAAACAAAAGGGAACAGGGCATTTTTCCTTCCAAAGAGAGATCTTTAAGGCACTCCTGTAGTGATCTTTGGGGGCAGCGTTGGTGGGATGGGAAATCTCTCTCATTTAATGTCCTTTAATACCTAACAGAAATGCATTTGAGAAGGAGGCATTTTGTAATCGTGATGTAGATAACATGATATTTAATTACATTTAACTGTTTGATTTCCATTTGGTTGGAAGCAGTTTTAGTACAAGAGTTATTTGCAGCATTTCCATCGATTCTGCTAAGTCAAATGGTTTGTTTATATAACTTGTATGTATAACTTCATTTTATCGATCGATATATTCTCCTTATGTATAATTAAGCCTTGAGTTGGAGTAGCAGTGACAGTTCAGTTTTCCGTTACAAAAAGACCTGTTATTTTCCCTCCAGGTTCTAAAAAGTATTAACAGTGTGCTTTCCAGAACTGTAAATGGGGAGATACAATTCTTCCTTTGTTTTGTAGTGGCGGAGTTTTCTGCCCAGTTGAGAAGGGATTTGCTAAAACACAAACAGGTAGTTTGCTCTGTTTTGCTGGCTCCAACCCTATACGGGCCAGGGAATGGATGGAGAACAGGTACCAGCACCCTGTATTTGGAGACACCAGTTCTCACCGTAGAGAATTTCTAAGAGGATTTAACACTTAGCATTGCCAGGAAATTCTGCTCATTGGCTTACATGCTTCTTGCCTGATGTCCGTTGTTGGTAGTTTTAAGTGAGTAGGTAGTGGGACCCAGGTCAGAAGTTCACAATAACTTGCATGTGTGTGAGGTAAGAAGTAAATGTACACATGCGCTAGTAGCACGAGTCAGCATTATGAACAATACGCATGTGCAGGCATAATAAAAGGACAAGTGCATACACCTGCATGTGCCACCCACTTGTACTGCAATAAAGTGATGTTTTGCTCCATGTCGGCTCCTCGCGCTTTTTTCCAGTTGGGCAACTCACCTCAAATCCCTCTCCAGCCTTTCTTGGCTGATATCCGTTTATTCTATTAGCAGATAAGGTCCGTGAGAGTAGGAACTTTGCCTGTCATGTTTACTGGTGTCTCTGTGCACCTGGGACAGTACTTGGGATGTAATAGAGACTCAACATAATCATTTAGTGCGTTGATTTTCAAAGCGTGGTCCCCAGATCAGCCACTGAGAACTTGCTAGTCACCCAAATTTTGGGAATCCTACCCATCTTACTGAAACGCTGGATGTGAGGCCCAGCTGTCTGTGTTTAACAAGCCCCCCAGGTGATTCTGATGCCCACTAAGTTTAGAACCATGGGTTTAATAAGTCCTTAAATTGAGGAGAATTGAGGGCCTTATGGGAGATTTTTGTGTGCTTTTCTCAAGTGGAGGTTTTCTTATTTGGGTTTTCACCTGATGTCTCATTGAGTGAGTTAGAAAAAGTGAGAAACTTTTAGGAATAAACCAGTGAGCTAAGTTTCTTGAAACCCTCATCTCTCAGTCTTTGAAGACTTACAGAAATGATAGGAGCTGATCATTTTAGTTAAGAACGAATACCAAAGGTAAGAATTTTGCTTGATGGTGCGTGGTTGATGCTGGTCAATAAAATCATTAAAACCAGCTTTATAATAAATATCCAGTTAGGATATCTTAAAAATTTGAACTAATAGATTTTTGCAAGTAGAGTTAGCTAAAGTAAATGGTCAATAATGCTATTACTGCTGTTACAACTTTTGTGTAAAATCTTGTGCTATTATCTTATAAATGTCCAACTGCAGTGGAATAAGTAAACAAAATTATGATATAGCCTTTCTTTGGATTATTATGTAGCCAATAAAATGTTCTGAAAGATTTTAAATGACTGTGGAATGCTTAGTAGCTAAAGCTAGATTAACAGTTTATAAAACATTGTTTTATGAAATGTGTATGTGAGTAAATAAAACATTAAAGATAGAAAGGAAATATAATAATACCTTTTCAGGATGATGTAACTGTTCTCTGAATTTTTTATTTGTTAATGAGAATATTTAAAAATTGAAATATATTTACATTTATGTAACAAAATACTAAAAAATTAAAAGGAAGAAACTTACCCTTCTACTGTGCTAACATAACTATGTCCCTATGTTCACATTTCCTTCTAGTTTGAGTCCTGTGTGTGCATGTGTTTTATGATTGTGTTGCTCAATCATGTTTTAGCATTTATAACTGGCCCTAAATGGAGGGACTTGTCAGTTGCTAGTGTTTTTCTTCTCAAGTTGAGGTTTCAGGATTGCAGATTATTTGGTGTAGTTAAAACAATTTCAGAACATTTTAGTGCCCTGAAATTTATTTAAAAAAAGAACACATTGTATAGAACACTGTCAATTCAAAAGGTGCTTCTAGGGGGTATTTCAGGAGTAGAAAACAGGGATCTGAATTGGTGAAGTCAGCTTTTCCAAGTCGAGATAAGAAGATGAGGACAGTGCATGGGAAGGAAGTATGGCAGGGAGAAGGGATGGCAAAGGTCTCAAGAGGGTCCTGAAGTGTGAGACTTCCTTCCATGATGGTGGGATTGGAGCTCAGACCCACAAACAGTGAACCCCTGATATGTTCCAAGAACCAGGAAAGTCATTGTCTCTGCTTTTAGGAAACTTACTCTGTTGTTTATATTATTTCCTCTTTTGAGTGAAATGTAACTTAGAGAAGAAAAAAAGAAAAAGAAGATGGTGTTCCAACCCATGGTTCTGAGTAATGGAAGAAGCAGACTTGGACCATTTCAAGTCAGTGCCTACAGTGGCAGTCACGGGGACGTTTTTCCTAGGAGCAGCTAGTGTCTGAGACTTTAGCCTTCTACCTTGCAGAGTATACACAGTGGTCCTAATATCTTTCATTTTTACTATAATAATACAGATTTAAATCTTTGATCTATTTGGAATTTTCACTGGTGTAGAAAGTCAGATAGATACTTTTTTTTTTCAGAATGGTAGGTAGTTATCCTAATATCATTAATTGGTTTGAAATTTATTATATACTAAGTTCCTTATGTGTTTAATCCTATTTCTGAACACTCTGCTCTGTAGACTCTGTGTAGACACTGGTACCAACCGTTCCTTTTGTGATGTTTGTAATGTTTTACTGTCTGGTGAGGCTAGTCCCCAATCGGGATTCTTTCTTTAATGGAAAATTTTAATCATATGTGATCTTAAGAGTCAACTTGTTCAACTTCAAAACTAATGAGAAAATTGATATCTTTACAACTTGAGTCTTTCTATCCAGGAATAAGGTGTATCTTTCTATTTATTCACTATCCTGTTATTTTTCTTTAGTGTTTCAAAGTTTTCTTTATAATGGGGACATCTCTTGCAAATTTCACATCCACGTATTTTGTCCTTTTGTGTATGTTATAAATGAGCTTTTTTCTTATATTTTGTAATTGCTCATTGTTTTCATAATAGATATATCAATATATTAGTGTCATAACCAGATACATTACTGGATTCTATCACCATTTCTCTTAGTTTTCACTTTATTTTCTTGGTATTAATAGGTTTGAAGTCATATACTCTAAAATGATTAGAGTTTAACTTTATTCCAATTTTTGTCTTCTATTTCTCTTAGCTAATTGGAGTGCTTTCAAAATAGTGTTAAATATTGATAGTGATGTGTTTTTATTACTGATAATATAGAAAAATTTCTAATAATGGTTATAATAATTATAAATAATAGTGATGGATATGACAATGATGATAGATATGATAGATAATATGATACTGATTATCTTCCAAGAAACTCTGACTCTGCTGGGTGTTTTACATATATTAATTTACCATTAGAATGGCTGGCATTTGACCTGAGATATATATATATATATATATATATATATATATATATATGTATTTTATCAGCAATAGAGTATTTATAAATTTTTTTTGCTAAAAATTAAAATTCTTCATCCCTTCCAGATGATAAAGATGGAATGCCATTTCAGTATCTGTATAGATGATAATGTAGGTGTTTTTTTCTTTTGACTTGTTGATAGAATGAATTATATTAATATGTCTTAATATTGAATCATCCTTGGCACAGTTAGTGATGCATCATTCTTTTAGAGAGATTTTGGCTTCTGTTTGCTTATATCTTTATATAGAATGTTTTGTATTAATATTCATGAATTGGATTATACTGTAGTTTTCTTTTTTTTGCTATATTTATCAGATTTCTGTATCACTATCATGCAGGCTTTTGAAAAAAATTGGCAGTTTGTGTTCTCTCCATCTGTGTTGGAAAATTAACAATTGAGTTTGTTCCTTGAAAGTTTTTTTAGAACTCACCTGTGACATTATCTGTACAGGTACTTTTGTGAGGAAGTTTTTAGATAACATTCTTTTTTATACCTATTGCTTTTCATTTCTAATGCCAGTTTTTAGTAATGTATATTTCCTCTGCATTTCTTCTTGGTTTTTTTTTCCCAAAGCTGATGCATTCTCTTATAATTAGTATTTTAATTTTTTCCTCTACCTCATAATTGCATCTATACTTGTTCTTTGCTCTTTATCTGACCCCCTCTCCCATTCTCCTGAATGAAGGTAGTTAGTGGTATTTCCTTCTCCCCTTCCCAAACCGATTCTACCCTTAGATTTAACCTTGAAGTTCTGCCTATCTGAGAATCATGACTATATAGCTTTTATTTGCATGTTTTTATCAAAATCTTTGCAGAATATTGACTTTGTTCTTGTCAGGGATCCTGGATCTTTAAAATAGCTTTGTTTTCTAGATGAAAAAGATAACAAGAGTGAGGTAAGGTCACCCACCTCATTGCGCTGCAGTGGAGATTTTTGATGGAGAAGTGGAGTGGAGAAGGGATGACAGCATTCAGCGGGGGAAAGGGATGGGCCTTAAAGAGCCACCACTTTTCTTATGACCACAGGATTTTAGGCTTTAGTGGTGAGTTAATTCCTCATCGCCAGCCAGACTTCAGGCATAAGAGGGCACATAGCACTTGTGATTCCATGTTGATCTTGAGCAGTTTTCCCTTTTATTTCCCATTTTACCTCCCCACCCCATTAAAATCAATAGCATTTGATGACCAACTGGATAGGAGGGAAGAGGAATGTTGAAGTTTTCACTTGTCTCCAGGCTGGGAGACTGTTTGAATGAAAGAAGCGTTAAGCAGGGTAGGAAAACAGGAGGAGGAGTAGGTTTGGTTGGAAGGGTGATTAGTTGCACTCTGGATATGAGGAGCTGGTAAAGCTTACAAGATACCAAGAGTGCAATGTCCAGTCTGTATTTTGATACCTGAAGACTCTTCAGTACTTCCCAACCTCTCTATATACAACTTCTGCTTTATTTCATATTCTTATACTTTCACATGTAATTACTGGAATAGGTTTGGTTTTTCTTGCTTGCAGCCTTGACTGTCTATAATCTAATCCAGATCGAGACCTTTCAAACTCTTTACAGTTTGGCAGGGTTCTTTACAGTTTCTTCTCCCCATTTTTTCCTTTCAACCTTCCACAGCATTACCCGAGCTCTGAGCCACAAACACACCCCCCAGGGTCAGTCATGCTGAACTCTCTCTCATGAGTCAAGTGAATTTCAAATAGTCCCTCTTGTAAATTGCCCCTCCACTTGAAATTCAGCTTCCCCCAAACTTGTACCAACTCCTTATTCCTTCCAAACTATCCTAAACACTGTCTCCTCTATGAAATGCTCCAGACATTCCCCTGTAGGCTTAATAGTTGCTTTCTTGTTGGCTCATAGTATGTTCACTGATCTCTCCATAATAGTTTGTTTTCTTATTAATCTGATTTACCAAAGAACACACTTGACAGCAGAGATCCACTTACCTGCCTTCAGTACCTGTGTTGGTCCTGGTATATACTGAGTGCTCAGGATTGTTGGCTAAGTGAATGGGTTGACGTTTTAATCACAATGTTATATACTGAGGATCTCAGGTTGCATGATCAGTGGAGGTGAATTTTGAAATAAAATAAGCAACTAAGACATTTTGGGCCATAATGGATCTACCAAGCCTTGGGACATATAAAAACAGCCAGATCTACCTGTCTGCTGTGAAAAAGATGATCCTTAAACTCATTGAACTATATATAGCAGCCACTCTGAAT